TTCTACAGTGTTTTGAGTTGACTTAGACAGTTTGTCAATGGTTCTTCAGTGTTGGGAGTTGACCTTGACAATTTTCCAATGGTTCTACGGTGTTGTGTGTTGACTTGACAATTTGCCAAATGATTCTACAGTGTTGTGTATTGACCTTGACAGTTTGCCAATGGTTCTACAGTGTTGGGAGTTGACCTTGACAATTTTCCAATGGTTCTACGGTGTTGTGTGTTGACTTGACAATTTGCCAATCGTTCTACGGTGTTGTGTGTTGACCTGACAATTTGCCAATCGTTCTACGGTGTTGTGTGTTGACCTTGACAATTTGTCCATGGTTCTACAGTGTTGAGAAATGACTTTGACAATTTGCCAATCGTTCTACGGTGTTGTGTGTTGACCTTGAAAAGTTGTCAATGGTTCAACAGTGTTGTGTGTTGCCTTTGACAACTTGCAAATGGTTCTTCAGTGTTGTGTGTTGACCTTGACAATTTTCCAATGGTTCTACGGTGTTGTGTGTTGACCTTGACAATTTGTCCATGGTTCTACAGTGTTGGGAGTTGCCCTTGACAGTTTGTCAATGGTTCTTCAGTGTTGGGAGTTGACCTTGACAATTTGTCCATGGTTCTACAGTGTTGGGAGTTGACATTGACAGTTTGTAAATGGTTCTTCAGTGTTGGGAGTTGACATTGACAGTTTGTAAATGGTTCTTCAGTGTTGGGAGTTGACCTTGACAATTTGTCCATGGTTCTACAGTGTTGGGAGTTGACCTTGACAGTTTGCCAATGGTTCTACAGTGTTGGGAGTTGACCTTGACAATTTTCCAATGGTTCTACGGTGTTGTGTGTTGACCTGACAATTTGCCAATGATTCTACAGTGTTGTGTGTTGACTTGACAATTTGCCAATGGTTCAACAGTGTTGTGTGTTGACCTTGACAATTTGTCCATGGTTCTACAGTGTTTTGAGTTGACTTAGACAGTTTGTCAATGGTTCTACAGTGTTGAGAAATGACTTTGACAATTTGCCAATGGTTCAACAGTGTTGTGGGTTGACTTTGACAATTTGTCAATGGTTCTTCAGTGTTGTGTATTGACCTTGACAGTTTGCCAATGGTTCTTTAGTGTTGTGTGTTGACCTTGACAATTTTCCAATGGTTCTACGGTGTTGTGTGTTGACCTTGAAAAGTTGTCAATGGTTCAACAGTGTTGTGGGTTGACTTTGACAATTTGTCAATGGTTCTTCAGTGTTGGGAGTTGACCTTGACAATTTGCCAATGGTTCTACAGAATTGTTTTTCAGTGAAGATGACCTCACAGTTACTGAATTGTTTTTCAGTGATGTTGACCTTCACAGTTCCTGAATTGTTTTTCAGTGATGATGACCTTCACAGTTACTGAATTGTTTTTCAGCGATGTTGACCTTCACAGTTACTGAATTGCTTTTCAGTGATGATGACCTTCACAGTTCCTGAATTGTTTTTCAGTGAAGATGACCTTCACAGTTTCTGAATTGTTTTTCAGTGATGATGACCTCACAGTTACTGAATTGTTTTTCAGTGATGTTGAACTTCACAGTTCCTGATTTGTTTTTCAGTGATGTTGACCTTCACAGTTACTGAATTGTTTTTCAGTGATGTTGACCTTCACAGTTCCTGAATTGTTTTTCAGTGATGATGACCTCACAGTTCCTGAATTGTTTTTCAGTGTTGACCTTTAAAAGACCAAAATTGTTCTACAGATTTGTTTGTTAACCTTGACAATACGCAAATTGATCCAAATTGTTCAAGTGTTGTGTGTTAATCTGGACAATTTTCCAATTGTTTTACAGTTTTTGTGTCGACCTTGACAATTTGCCAAATGATTCTACAGTGTTGTGTGTTGACCTTGACAATTTGCCAATCGTTCTACGGTGTTGTGTGTTGACCTTGACAATTTGCCAATGATTCTACAGTGTTCTGTGTTGACCTTGACAATTTTCCAATGGTTCTACGGTGTTGTGTGTTGACCTTGACAATTTGCCAAATGATTCTACAGTGTTGTGTGTTGACCTTGACAATTTGCCAATGGTTCTACGGTGTTGTGTGTTGACCTTGACAATTTGCCATTGTTTCTACAGTGTTGTGTGTTGACTTGACAATTAGCCAATGGTTCTATAGTGTTGTTTGTTGACTTTGACAATTTGCCAATGGTTCTACAATGTTGTGTGTTGACCTTGACAATTTGCCAATGGTTCTACAGTGTTGTGTGTTGACCTTGACAATTTGCCAATGGTTCAACAGTGTTGTGTGTTGACTTTGACAATTTGCCAATGGTTCTTCAGTGTTGTGTGTTGACTTGACAATTTGCCAATGGTTCTACAGTGTTGTCTGTTGACTTTGACAATTTGCCAATGCTTCTACAGTGTTGTGTGCTGACTTGACAGTTTGTCAATGGTTCTACAGTGTTGGGAGTTGACTTTGTTCGACAGTGTTGTGTGTTGACTTGACAGTTTGTCAATGGTTCTACAGTGTTGAGAGCTGACCTTGACAATTTGTCAATGGTTCTACAGTGTTGTGTGTTGACTTGACAGTTTGTCAATGGTTCTACAGTGTTGTGTGTTGACCTTGACAATTTGTCCATGGTTCTACAGTGTTGTGTGTTGACTTGACAGTTTGTCAATGGTTCTACAGTGTTGTGTGTTGACTTGACAATTTGTCAATGGTTCTTCAGTGTTGTGTATTGACTTGACAGTTTGTAAATGGTTCTACAGTGTTGTGTGTTGACTTTGACAATTTGCCAATGGTTCTACAGTGTTGGGAGTTGACCTTGACAATTTGCCAATGGTTCTACAGTGTTGTGTGTTGACCTTGACAATTTGTCAATGGTTCTTCAGTGTTGTGTGTTGACCTTGACAGTTTGTCAATGGTTCTACAGTGTTGAGAAATGACTTTGACAATTTGTCAATGGTTCTACAGTGTTTGGAGTTGACTTGACAGTTTGTCAATGGTTCTTTAGTGTTGTGTGTTGACTTGACAGTTTGTCAATGGTTCTACAGTGTTGTGTGTTGACCTTGACAGTTTGTCAATGGTTCTACAGTGTTGAGAAATGACTTTGACAATTTGTCAATGGTTCTACAGTGTTGAGAGATGACTTTGATAATTTGTAAATGGTTCTACAGTGTTGTGTGTTGACTTGACAGTTTGTCAATGGTTCTACAGTGTTTTGAGTTGACTTTGACAGTTTGTCAATGGTTCTACAGTGTTGGGAGTTGACTATGACAGTTTGTCAATGGTTCTACAGTGTTGTGTATTGACCTTGACAGTTTGTCAATGGTTCTACAGTGTTGTGTGTTGATCTTGACAGTTTGTCAATGGTTCTACAGTGTTGTGTGTTGACCTTGACAATTTGTCAATGGTTCTACAGTGTTGTGTGTTGACTTGACAGTTTGTCAATGGTTCTTCAGTGTTGTGTGTTGACTTGACAGTTTGTCAATGGTTCTACAGTGTTGAGAGATGACTTTGACAATTTGCCAATGGTTCTACAGTGTTGTGTGTTGACTTGACAGTTTGTCAATGGTTCTACAGTGTTGGGATTTGACTTTGACAGTTTGTCAATGGTTCTACAGTGTTGGGAATTGACTTTGACAATTTGTCAATGGTTCTACAGTGTTGGGAGTTGACCTTGACAGTTTGTCAATGGTTCTTCAGTGTTGTGTATTGATCTTGACAGTTTGTCAATGGTTCTTCAGTGTTGGGAGTTGACCTTGACAGTTTGTCAATGGTTCTTCAGTGTTGGGAGTTGACCTTGACAATTTGTCAATGGTTCTTCAGTGTTGTGTATTGATCTTGACAGTTTGTCAATGGTTCTTCAGTGTTGGGTGTTGACCTTGACAGTTTGTCAATGGTTCTACAGTGTTGTGTGTTGACCTTGACAGTTTGTCAATAGTTCTACAGTGTTGGGAGTTGACCTTGACAATTTGCCAATGGTTCTACAGTGTTGGGAGTTGACATTGACAGTTTGTAAATGGTTCTTCAGTGTTGGGAGTTGACCTTGACAGTTTGTCAATGGTTCTTCAGTGTTGTGTGTTGACCTTGCCAGTTTATCAATGGTTCTACAATGTTTTGTGTTGACCTTGACAATTTGTCAATGGTTCTACAGTGTTGTGTGTTGACCTTGACAGTTTGTCAATAGTTCTACAGTGTTGGGAGTTGACCTTGACAGTTTGCCAATGGTTCTTCAGTGTTGTGTGTTGACCTTGACAGTTTGTCAATGGTTCTTTAGTGTTGTGTGTTGACCTGACAATTTGCCAATGGTTCTACAGTGTTGTGTGTTGACTTGACAATTTGTCAATGGTTCTACAGTGTTGTGTGTTGACCTTGACAACTTGCCAATGGTTCTACAGTGTTGTGTGTTGACTTGACTATTTGCAAATGATTTTAGTGATTTTATTTGTTGTTCATTATTTTTGTTGTCAACTTTGATGATTGCATTAACGTAAAGAAAATTCCAATTAAAGTTTGATTTAATGTGTCAGTAAGGCCAGCTTGACTTAAATATGATTTTTTTTTTAATTTGGAATCCTTACAATGATGTCCATACAGCTTGCTGGCCATATTGGTAGCAATATTTGGTCAATTTTGTGATATGTTTGGCTGCTGAGAAATATAGCGCAGTAAAAAATATCTAAATGTCATTTCCATCATTTGGCGATAGAAGTTAGTGACACTTGAAAGGAACCCACATCAATTTTTTGACTCAGTATGATGTTATGTAGATATCAATATATATGGTTTTATTGCAGATATATCCCTGCAGAAAAAAAGGTGTACACTGCAGAAAAAAAAGATATACACCTGAATGGTAAGTACAGTATAAATACTTACATACACTAAAATAGTAAGTACATGTATAATTTACTATCCTGTGAGAAACACAAATCCATGAAGCCTTGATTTTACAATCTGAAGATTTTAGGGTTGGATTGCTGACGGTACAGTGAAATCCTTTTCCTATTCACCATAGAGATTTTTGGAGCACTTCCCAGAGTGGTCCCTGGGATAGAATTCAAAGATGTAGCAATGTCTCACATGTAGCCAAAAGACAGCTCTGTTGATACCTACAAAGTAAATTAGGTAACAAACAATTATAAGTGGAATGAAAGCTTATTAACTGGTATTGTACAAGATAATATTTGCATTTTCTTCCATTGTCCTTTATCCAAAATGAAAATAAATATTTTAGGTATTTCTGCTTATTTATTATGTGACATTTCCATAAGGCCATCAAAATTATGATAATTATTTTGTGTTCGTGACATATTGAAACTGATTTGATCAATCTAAATTCCAAATTACCTGGATAATTAATATTAATGAGGAAACCTATTGCTGAAAACTCTGTATAGATGCTTAAAATACAATTGCTTTGCGTTGCCATTTTATGAAACATAGTGGAGCCTCAGGAGGGAGGGATATGTCATGAGTATGTTGGTGTCAAGGTCAGAACTAATTGCTCTGTATAGATCTGAATTAGATTGTTCTGTTATTGTTTTTCAACACCAGAATGCAATAACTCAGTGGTTCCTGGTTAGGCCCAGTATGACCATGACATCAGTGATTGGATAAACAAAGACAATTTATTTTTAACTCTTTAAACACTTTTTTTCTGCTTTGCCAATTTCAGTATCACAATGACTTTGTGGTCCCCCCCCCCCCCCCCCCCTTTTTTTTGTATAAAATGATAGAAACTCAATTTAAAATGTTATATCTGAGCATGAATGTATTGACACTAGGGCGAATCTTAGAATGACATTTTGTTCTCCTAACACATACAAGTATATACTTTGTTGGATTAAATGTGATATGATTGAAATGTTTTACTAAACAGTAGTTTCTATTAGGTGGTTCTACTACAGGTGTGGTAAACCAGGTGATGACAGGGGGTCTATATTACCTGTAAGTTTTACTAAACAGTAGCTTCTATTAGGTGGTTCTACTACAGGTGTGGTAACCAGGTGATGACAGGTAGACTGTATTACCTGTAAGTTTGACTAAACAGTATTTCTATTAGGTGGTTCTACCACAGGTGTGGTAACCAGGTGATGACAGGTGGTCCATATTACCTGTAGGTTTTACTAAACAACAGTTTCTATTAGGTGGTTCTACTACAGGTGTGGTAACCAGGTGATGACAGGTGGTCTATATTCCCTGTAATTTTGACTAAACAGCAGTTTCTATTGGGTGGTTCTACTACAGGTGTGGTAGACCAGGTAATGACAAGTAGACTATATTACCTGTGAGTTTGACTAAACAGCAGTTTCTATTAAGTGGTTCTACTACAGGTGTGGTAACCCGGTGATGACAGGTGGTCTATATTCCCTGTAATTTTGACTAAACAGCAGTTTCTATTAAGTGGTTCTACTACAGGTGTGGTAACCCGGTGATGACAGGTGGTCTATATTCCCTGTAATTTTGACTAAACAGCAGTTTCTATTGGGTGGTTCTACTACAGGTGTGGTAAACCAGGTGATGACAGGTGGTCTATCTTACCTGTAAGTTTTACTAAACAATTGTTTCTATTAGGTGGTTCTACTATAGGTGTGGGAACCAGGTGAGGACAGGTGGTCTATATTTCCTGTAAGTTTGACTAAACAGCAGTTTCTAGTAGGTGGTTCTACTACAGGTGTGGTATCCAGGTGAGGACAGGTGGTCTATATTTCCTGTAAGTTTGACTAAACAGCAGTTTCTATTAGGTGGTTCTACTATAGGTGTGGTAACCAGGTGAGGACAGGTGGTCTATATTACCTGTAAGTTTGACTAAACAGCAGTTTCTATTAGGTGGTTCTACTACAGGTGTGGTACCAGGTGATGACAGGGAGACTATATTACCTGTAAGGTTGACTAAACAGCAGTCTCTATTAGGTGGTTCTACTACAGGGGTGGTAACCAGGTGAGGGCAGGTGGTCTATATTCCCTGTAATTTTGACTAAACAGCAGTTTCTATTAGGTGGTTCTACTACAGGTGTGGTAACCAGGTGAGTTCAGGTGGTCTACATTACCTGTAATTTCCTTTATATTCTTACATGGAAAACTCATTCACACCTTTAGTTTATCACCATGTTTAGCTTGTAATTGAACAGGTTTGTTTGAATCTGAGAACAAATACTGTTTTAAATTTTAAAGTATTCAATATGTCTGTAGTGAACTTTATACACTTATATTCAAAACTAAATAAAACCAAGAGTGAGCAGTGCCCTACAAAGCTGTACCCCCATGGAGTGTAATGGTCCTTGACATCGACATCATATAAACATACACACTGCACATTTATAATATTTCATAAAGCCTCTGGTGTAAAAAGTTGACAAACTCTTAAGTTATAATATACATAGCTAGAAAGTTCCAGCACAAAGTGTTCAAAGTTAAAGTCTAAGCAAGCATTGCAGTGAGTTAATCCTGCCTTGACCTTTATGAGTATGTACATGTGTATGATATAACACATATGTGATACATATATTTATGGCAGTTGATCACATAATTTCAGTAGTTGAGATGTTGCATTCTGAATAACAATTGCAGATAATTGATGAGCCCGTGGTCCACTTGCTGTGACCTTGACCTTGAAAATGAACATCCTGATGTTTCCATTTAACCTTGCCCTGATACACATATTAATGTAGTTTCACCATATCATGTTCAGTGATTCCAAAGTTACACCCAGAGCAAACATTGCACTGATTGGCCTAGCTTTGACCCTTACTTAGCCTTGGCCTTTTGAGCCCAAACTTGTGTGTGGTAGCTAGGTGACACAACATCTTATAAAATTTACACTTTTATGATGTTTAATAAGAAAATGTTCAGCCAGTCCAAAAGTTATGCTGCAGAAAACCTTTGCCAGAACTTGACCTTTGATCAGTCTGGATCAGGATGATACCAGCGAATTTCTATTCAAAGAAAACTAAACTCTTTGAAAATCCTGTGAATATTTGGTCATGCACAGTTGTGATATCATTTGAGAAGATAGTAACTTTAATATATGAAAATTTCTACCTGAGTCTATGTGTGCTAGCCAAACTTAGTCAGGATAAAATATGTGTTTCTGGAAATCTGGAGTGTTTCTCTTATTTTAATATTCAGTTAATTAGCATGCATATAGATGATTAAGGTGTAGTATTTTGTAACAGGTATGAATTGAATACTTGACCAGATTTTTTGGGGACACCATTTATCATACTGTATAACATGAAATGTTCGTTGTGTATAAACACTCATGGTTTTGTTAGTTGCTATTGAACCACGAAAATAAATACAACAAATTTGAATGATATACTGTTTGTTAATATTGGATATCCACGAAAGTTTGTACCACGAAACGATCTAAAAGGCTTCAAGCCACAGAGGAAAGTACCCATGAACAAACATTTCATGTTGTACAGTAAACACAATATTTGTACAAAACTAACTTTATCATTAAGGTTAAACTAGCATTCAACTTAAGGAATCAGTAATATTCAGTTATATTTAATATTATTTTTTGTCTATTCTCTGTGGAAAAGAGCAATCTATTTTCCTGATACACTTGGACATATATATAGGTAAACATGTGACACTTTTACACTTGACTTGGAAATTGGATGCAAAAATAGGCTGCTTTAAACAAATTTCATATCACACATATTTTTATAAGGCTTTACCTGAGCCTGTCTGAATCATGTACCTTGTCTATCAACTAATAAGCTGTCACTTGTCAAACTACCTAGTTCAAAGTAACATATTCTCTCACTGTACAAATTAATCAAATCTGTACACATGTTTTGTCAGATCCAATAAAGTGTTGTAAGAGATCTAGAGGACACTTTTTCCTAGTGTTTCTGATGGGGATCAAACCTAACACTACATATTACTTCTCCAGTGCGTTACTCAGTGAGTTAAAGGGTAATCCTCCCTGTCCAAGTTAGTGTCATTACTACTCCAGTGCTTTACTAAGTGAGTTAAAGGGTAATCCTCCCTGTCCAAGTTAGTGTCATTACTACTCCAGTGCTTTACTCAGTGAGTTTAAGGGTAATCCTCCCTGTCCAATTGCAAGTTAGTGTCATTACTACTCCAGTGCTTTAGTACTCAGTGAGTTTAAGGGTAATCATCCCTGTCCGAGTTAGTATCATTACTACTCCAGTCAGCTAGTACTCAGTGAGTTTAAGGGTAATCCTCCCTGTCCAATTGCAAGTTAGTGTCATTACTACTCCAGTGCTTTACTCAGTGAGTTAAAGGGGAATCCTCCCTGTACAAGTTAGTGTCATTACTGGTCCAGTGCTTTACTCAGTGAGTTTAAGGGTTATCCTCCCTGTCCAAGTTAGTGTCATTATTACTACAGTGCTTTACTCAGTGAGTTAAAGGGTTTACTCCAGTGCTTTACTCAGTGAGTGGACATCACTGTGACAATAATTGATCTTTTAATGTCCCAAATTGGTGTATGTGTTAGGATCACTTGGTCCCCAGAGAAACAGGTTTTACTGTATAGGGGCATTATATCATGCTTTTACAGTATATTGGCATTATATAGAGGTTTTACTGTAAATGGGCATTATATAGAGTTTAAGGGTAATCCTCCCTGTCCGAGTTAGTGTCATTACTACTCCAGTGCGTTACTCAGTGAGTTAAAGGGTAATCCTCCCTATCCAAGTTAGTATCATTATTACTCCAGTGCGTTACTCAGTGAGTTAAAGGGTAATCCTCCCTATCCTAGTTAGTATCATTTCTACTCCAGTGCTTTAGTACTCAGTGAGTTAACTCATCCACCCCTGAAGACACATTTGAACTCTTCCAATTCAATAGTTGGAATAGGTCATTATGAAATTTCAGGGGTGAATGAGTTAAAGGGTAATCCTCCCTGTCCGAGTTAGTATCATTACTACTCCAGTGCTTTAGTACTCAGTGAGTTAAAGGGTAATCCTCCCTTGTCCGAGGTAGTATCATTACTACTCCATTGCTTTAGTACTCAGTGAGTTAAAGGGTAATCCTCCCTTGTCCGAGGTAGTATCATTACTACTCCATTGCTTTAGTACTCAGTGAGTTAAAGGGTAGTCTTCCCTGTCCAAGTTAGTGTCATTACTACTCCAGT